GCGAAACGACAATTCTAAAATAGGACTACTTACACTGCTATAGTTTCCTAACTTCTAGCGAAAAACAGAAAGATGTAGTGTTTTAAGTACGAAAGATACCCGTGTAAATTAAATGTACTGGACGCACTGAAAAGTGAATGGACACTTGTGATGAGAAAAAAACAGAGTTACTGTGCATACTTTGAAGTTATTATTTACACTTTACTTTTTAACAGAATTTTTGCGAATCTGCATAAATCTAAACTTATCAGTATTCATTTCTTCTATTTCAAAGAATCAACAGACAATATCGTTTTCTGAAGTTCACACGTGTTTTTCATCATCTTTAGGAGTCTATCTTTACTTCTTCTCCAAAAAAAAAGCGATAGTAACAAAAAAAATTATTTTTCATATTCTGTTGACATAAGCTCTTGTCAGAGTTTATACATTGTTTAAAAACGTACGCAGTGTGTTTGAGGGGTTCAGGCTGTACGCAATGTTGCAGGAAAATTGCCACTGAAGCAATCCATGTGTCCACGATGCCGTGAACATTTTCTTTCTCTCAGCGCCGTAAGGAAAGTTTCTCTGAGAAACCGTGTAATAGAATAATAAAAGAAATTAGTTTCGGAATGTTAACACTTGCAAAAATCCAACAGAAGTAAATCTCTCAAAAAAAGTCAGCATATTCAGGTTCATTCTCAGATATCAACGTCGATCGAAACGCTAGTAAACGAAAAATGTTGGATGACTGACTGACGGGATCACCACGCGTGATCGCGTTTTGAGGAATCCGTGTAATTTTATCTTTTTCCTGGTCAAGAAAATCAGCTATGCATACCACACCATAGAGTGTCTGTACAGTTAAAGTCAACGGACCTAGCAAATCAGAGACGCTTAGACTAGATTATGTGAGTCAGTTTAAATCGGTCAAGATACGTTAGTACTGAATGTTAGACCGAAGTTGCCACAATTAACGTAAACTCGCAATAATACTACTGATTTAGGCCTGTCTCTCCTAGCGCATCTTTACCTTTAAATTCAGTTTTTTCTTGGTCAAGGTATGATCAGCAAAGTGAGTGGCTGTTGAATTTTCGGCATTAAACTTATGCGTGTGCCTCAATGCAGATGGCCTCAAAGTGAAACAAATGTCCAGATGTCGTGCACTTTAAGTGCTGTGTAAAGCAACGAGAGAAAAACAAAATATGATTTGTTTGTCATTTTTAACTTTCATTAGTAAAGTTTCTTGAGTATTTTTCTCCATTTTTGTCTGCTTCATTCTTCAATACATTCAGACGTGAATCTTGTCGCATTCACGCAGACAAAAAGATTCAATAATTACAAAAGGAAAAATGAAAATTTGAAGTGTATACTTTTTTTGCATGTTCAAATGAGGACTATAATATAAGATTATTGTTTAAATCATATAATAATTATATTTCGTGATAGAGTGCAACGCTTAGTTTTGCTGTAAAAAACAGTCACCGGGTTTTGTGTCATCAAATTTTGATTGATCATCATCGTATGCAGACAAGAGTTTTCAATTTCAAATAAAAGAAAGTAACTAGAACTGTTCAATTTTTGAGCGAAAAAAAATCAAGAACAATAATTATCACAAAAAACTATTCATATAAACGGACAACATGGATTATTCACAACTATTACAAGATTAAAACCATATGTTTCGATCACTTCTAATAAAAATAATTTATCGTCTTTTGCGCGCAATCCAATTGAATGGATATCTTTACGAGTTACTTGTTTACTGTAAGATTTCGATAGATTACTGAGCATGCCAAATAACTTACTACTAAAATCGATGAAATATCTCAATCTAAGTAAAAATAAAGAAAATATTGTTTTCATAAAACAGAGAGTAAAAAAAAAGGAGTTAGATACATACTTGTCAGTTTTGTTTTGACTACGAGCAGATATTCTGAAAAGATAACACAGAAAACTAGACATGCCGAAGAATTTGAAGAAAAAGGAGAATCATTCCGTTTAAACTAGTGGTTGCGAAAAATCTATCTCTATATGATAAATAAAATATGTTTGAGCTAATAAATACCTTTCTGCGAATAAGTCTTTGTATTTCTCTTGATCACTGCTTGTTACTTTTACAATATTTGTTAAATTGTTGTTGTGTATATAGAATAAATTGTTACTATCAACATCAATAAAAACATCGAATAAATTTATTTTGTTTTGTAATACTTTTTCTGTTGTACATGCGATATACTGATGTTCATTTTTTAATATTTCCGTATCTTTCACGTTGACATAGAATAATGTTTTCATCTTTTGATCATTCAAACAGAAATCAAACAAACAATAACTGAGTAAACAACTAAAATAAACTAATAAGAATACACGATTAAATTACGTACAAGTTGACATCTCTCTTTCATTTACCTTTATAACAAAGTGTGCTAAGTTCTTTACTTGAATAAAATAGAATACGTTTATTTAACAAAATAATTCTCCAAAGTGGAAATATTTTTGGTCCAAATTCTTCAACGAATGATACAAAATCTCCTTCAGGCTGGGTAAACTTGAAAAAGAGAGAATATTATGAAAAGTTATAATATTTTATAGTTATAATCACATAGAGCGAAGTTAAATCAGGTTCTTGTAAGCCATTTATTGATGATTGTTTGTCGTGAAAAAATTCTAATAATGCTTCATAATTGCCTGGATGATGGACATGATGACTATAAATAAAAAATAAAATATTCAAAATCACTAAAGATAAATTTTAGATTTGTCTCATTACCTTACTTGAGTTTGTAAGAAATTTAAATGATATTGATTTCCAATGTATGAATTGGAAAGAATTCCAACGGATTTGATACGCATTCCACGTTCGTTTGTTTCGGTTGAATCTCGAATGTTTTCAATGCAAGATAAGCCATATAAACTTTTATGACGAAAATATCTTAAAAGACAGAAAAAAGAATTTGTATTCTAATCATTTCATTTACTTCTTTAGAAAGCGTGTTAACTAGGAAAGCCTCCAAACAATTAGATGGCGACACAACAAACATTAAGCTATAAAATCTACACCAAAAAAATAAGTCTAAGTTGTAAATGCGAAAGACTGTTTCATATTAAGGAACGATACAACAGAAGATCTTTAAAGATGTCCACAAAGCCGTTTTAGTTAAGCCTTTTCTAAATGAAGCAAACTGATCTTACACACAATCTTGTATCAGGTTATGAGAACCGCTAGGAAGCGCCTTGAATTCGACATCTTTCAATGGAAATATTTCGGGCATTTGCCATTCAATTATATTTCCATGGCCAACATCGAAACCAACAATAAAGATGGCGAACAGACTATCTGCAGGATAATTTATTGTTGGTGAATTATCACTTAATAATGATCCATGCTTGTTTACGTTCGAAATTAATGTTAATTTGAATCGTCCTTGATAATCTTTATCTTTATCCGATATATTCTCAACATCATCATCACTATTTTCTCGTAATAAAGGTACATCATCGTCAGCCGAACCAAATGCGCTTGCCATATTATCTGCAATGAAATCTACAATGAAGCAAACATAATTCACTGAGGTAAACAATGTCACAGTTCCATCAGGCAGAACTTTACAGACAAAATATTTGATCGTGAGGACAAACCCCAACAAATACAGAACGAGAAAAGTTTAAAACAAAGAACGAACAAAAAGCTTTTTTTTGCTTCAATTATCGGTAAGATGTACTATCAGATGTGACGTAGTTAGAAGTTAGAAGTTACCTGCCAAAAATGGACGTCAATGATGACATTTTTCTTCCTTTTCTCTCTTTTCGTTGAATAAAAATTCAACCACTGCACAGCGGGCAATCACGTATAGATTTTGGCGAAAAATCGAACATTTGCTCTTTTAAAATTCAAATAATGTCAGATATACTTCGATGGACAGGCTATTTAATAATAGCCTATAAAATTTTTTCCTTCGAGTTGAATTGAGAATTTTAGGGAAAAATGTATCACCAAACAAGAGGCTAAAGACTAGCGATGTCTGAGAAATAACATTTTTTTTAATGAATGAAATCGGTTTGAATTTAAAATTATTATATCCCAGGCGGTTTGTTACGGTTATCGTATACGGCCGTAAACGATTAAATACGGACCGTTTACGCACCATATTTTACCGTAAACCATGCCGGTGTTTTACGACCGTATTTACGCCCTACAATATACGGCGTGTTTACGGCGTAAACCGTATTTCCACCGTATAGAATTCCACGTAAGAATTCATCAGATTCCAGAAGATTATGTGCCTGATCGTGTTCTATAAATTTCCTTTAGACCCTCTTAAAAAAGTATCTTTCTCTATTCATAATATTTTCTGGCATAAATAGGACACAAACATCCGTAGGATCGTGTTTAACCACGTTCCATGCACTTTATTTGCGCTCAGCTGATGTTTGAAAACGAAGAAAGAAAAAAATTCTAAGTTTTATCATAAAAACTATGTTATTTATATATACTCAGTATCATAGCAGAATTTATGTGGTAAGAATGAGTCAACGATTCTTGCATTGGCCTAGTTACATCGCGTATACGGCGCATTTACGTAGCATCGTAAACGAACACCGTATTATACCATAATTGAACCGTAATACGGTGCACCGTATTCGGTCACCCTTTCCAGGCCGAAAACTACCGTAATTTAGCCGAATATAGCCGTTTACGTACTGTATTGTTCGATATGGGATATTCAGAATCTAGACGCTTCTAGCTATCTATCGATAAAAAAGCTGTTCATCTGAATGTAATGGTCTAGAAGGAAAAGGTTATTTTCCGAACAGACAGTATTTCCAAAAAAGACACTTCCATTGCAATTAGTTTCCAATGATCCAATCTGACGCAAAATCACATCAAAATGTTTAGCAGCATGTCCTGCATCTATGATGAGTGCACAAACATGCACATATTTGTCAAAGTCGAGTTATAGATTTTCCAAAAATCCTTGGTTTTTCCCGTAAAATTGAGTTTCTCAGTCCAGGAACCTTTGAATTGAAAAATCAGATGATATTCGTTTGACCAGCTGCATCGAACCATGTATAACACAATAAAAAAAGAAAAGTAACTACAGACTACATGTTTTTTGTAACTTTCACAGTCCGATCGAAAACTTCTTCACTCTTTATCACTCAGTTCAAGATTAAATACTGCTTTATTGGGAGATGATTTTATTTTTGGATAGGTCTATTGACAGTTTTAAAACCGGTAGCAAGAAGCTATTGACGGGTCAAAGGCTGGCATCAAGCAGCTATTGATAGTCCAAAATGCATTTATATACTGCACAAATATGTTATTCAAAAAAGTCCGTCATCTCCAAGTAGCATAGGAATAGCACAGGAGTATTCTAGTGGCTCACTCGCATGCACAGTCACCCCGTCCACTCGAAACAATTTCTCATAGACCGTAAAGTCAGAACTAAGTCAACATAACATTTTGAATAACATATTTACGCAGTGTGAAAGTGCATTTTGGACTGTCAATACCCTAGTGAATGACAGTACTGATGTGTGAGTACTCAGATGCGTACTCATGCTGAAAAATGCGAGGAGTACACATGAATGAGGAATGAGTATTATGGTGCGCAATTGTGGTTTTGTGGCAAAATACTTTTGAGTATTGCTCATCTGGTATTTTCATATAAAGGAGTGATTTCAGGCAGCTAGGTTTTCAGATTTTTCAGCTAGTTTTCTGAAGGCATCCGATTCTAAAAATTTTTTTTTTTATTGAAATATCGCTGTGTATGCAAAAATACATGTCTCTGCATACGGTCATTGAATTCAGCACATATAAAAACCTATGATGAACTGTTGCCATAAGGCACTCGAGTGACTCGAATTAGCATGAAGTAAACCAATGTCTTAAATAACTCTACGAACAGATCATTGGCTAGGCAAGTATAACTTTTCTACGATTATTTTTAACTGGAAAACCAATCAGATGGGACCCCGCTATTTGAATTTCTGTGAAATTTAAACTTAATTACTTAATAAGCATGCGAACATTGATAGGCTAATATATGATTTTGTCACAGATAACAAAAGAAAGTAAAGCAAGCTTTGTGTATCCTTTCAAAAACCTGTATAATTAAAACTATTTTATTTTAGTTTTACAAATTGTAATGATAATAACTTTAGAGAAACTGATGTAACAGAGATGTAGAATTTATCCAAGAGGACTTTTATGATGATGTATCTCTGTTATGCACGCTTTGGTCGATTCATCCATTCCGGACTATACCAGGGTTATCAGGTGGTGTGCATTTTGTTAAGAGATAAGACTAAGACTGCTTTATTTACGAAAAGTGAGAGTCATCAAAGGTCACCGACTTGGAATAACAATGACTCAAGCCAAACAACATCAGAAGACTAATAAAAAATGCGAGCATATTTAGGGTGACGAAGACGTAAAGATGAGTAGTAAGGACGATGAATAGTATAAAAAAGAGAAACAGGACTTAGACGATGATAAATTTTGAACAGCTGTAGAAGTCTAAAGTATTTACGACGAAGAGAGAGATTTGGAAGAGAAAGTTGAGAACTAGAAGAACGATAGTCAGAATTGCGAGAAATAACACGAGAAGCAAGTTTGTTTACCGCAATAATCAATTTTAGGAAGAATAGAAGAAAGATAGATTCGACGCCGAACTTCAGTTGGAACTAATCTAAAGACACGATTCAATTCCCCAGGCTTGCGCCGACAAGCAAGAGCAATGTCGTTGACATGATCATTCCACCTAAGATTGTGCGAAACAACAACACCAACACAACGAACAGAAGACACAACAGAGACAGGAACACCATCGAGATACAATTGATTATAAACATAGCGAAAAGGGTATTGCTAAAAGACGCGAACACTCCCAAATTAAAATCTGAGTTAGCCCATCGATAGAGCTCGTCGAGTTGAGTATAGCAACCCCTAACGAACACTCAAAAAACTTTTTTACTTTCTTTTTATTTCCTTTTTAGTACTTCTGGCCCTAACGTTAGTTGTCTTGTTCATTGTTCTTTTTTTACTCTTTTGATGTTTCTTGGCTTGAGTCATTGTTATCACAGATCGGTGACCTTTGATGACTCACACTTTTCGTGAATAAAACAGTCTTAGTCTTGTCACCACACCCCCAGCCCAGAAGAATCTAGAGATGAATTTGGCGCACTTTTTTGGGTGTTCTTACCCTTTCTTCTTTGTATTCGTGGGTGTTCCTTGGGTGTTCGTGGGTATTCTTTGGGTGTTCGTGGGTATTCTTTGGGTGTTCGTGGGTATTCTTTGGGTGTTCGTGGGTGTTCATTCAAAATGTATGCTTAAAATGCGAAACTATAACAAGTTTTTTGGGTGTTCGTTAGGGATTGCTATACTCAGCTCGACGACCTCGTTAAGGTGACTTTAGATCTCGCACATTCGTTATGTACTCATATCTTTAGAATTTATCAGTATGAAAATAGTATTTTTATAGATTATTTAGAAATAATGGCAGCACAAAAAA